TCAGATAAGCACCGACCTGGGTGGGGGCCCAGAGGAAGCACCCCCTCACCCCATCCAACCTCACTCCCTGGACCTTGGCTATTGGCCTCTGTGAGGCTGAAGACTTCTTCTTGAAAAAGGCTTCACTCTGTGGCAATCTGGCGTCTTGGTGGATCCGCCGTCCATTTCTTCTGCTTCCCGGAGCCACAGAGCTGGGGGTCTGCAACTCTCTTCTCTCCCTTTCTCTTACCCTCCCCTCCCAATGATATATCAGCCAATCCTGTCACCTCTAAATCTACCCCGAATCTGCCCACTTCTCCCCGCTCCTCTGTCTCCACCTGGTCCAGCCTCATCAGACTGGTCCTGCCTCAGGACGTTTGCACGGGCTGTTCCCTCCCCCCTGAATGCTTCTTCCGCTAGCTCTAATACCTTCATTTGTTTCCTTTGCTTTTACAAATGTTTGTCAGGATGGGAGCTCTGAGAAGGCAGTGACTCTGTCTAAAGTGGTCACCGTTGGGTCCCCGGCTCCCAGCACAGCGCCTGGCACCCAGTAGGTGCTCAATAAAAATTCCTTCCGCCACGGAAGGCATCAATTCACGGAACCTCAGCAAACAGCCTTGTCGGATCCCCACGTCCTGGGTGGGAGCCTTTAGCCGTGGACCCCGATAGAGATATTAGGGGGAAAAAGACTCCCGATTTTGGTTGCCTCCCTCTGCCTTTAATTATTTTGTCGACAAGAATCACAAATCCGCGAGTGAAGGTGGCATTTGAGAGGGACGGTTCCCTTTAGCGTAGCTGACAGCTAATTTGTGGGAAGTTTAATTACAGGCGGCGTTAATTAACTGGCAGAGCGCTGGGCGAGGAAGGCAACCATCTGTTCCTGAAAACGTCCGTCCCTCCCGGCCCGGCTGGGAGGCTGGGAGGGTGGGCCAGGAAGAGGATAGGGCGTGGGGAGGAGGCGGGAACAGAGAAGGAAGGAGGAACCAGTGATGACTCACAGCCTTTGCACCCCGCTTCCAGATGCCATTGGGGCTGAGACCCTGGCAGCCGGCCTCCTTGCGACTTCCATCATTTTGCAGTTGCCTCCAGTGGTGGCTGGGAGTGGCGGCAACAGTTCCTTGGAATCTGCTTGTCACTGGTTGTATCACTAGGAGCAGAGGATGTGGAATAGAGGAGGTGAAGAGCACACTGTGCTCAGCCCACGTTGGTGTGGATGGGCTCCCACCAAAGGAGGTTGGGAGGAGGAGCTGGGGCAGAGCCAGGGTGAGGGATACCCTGGGCAACGAGCCTGGAAGGAATGGATCATTCTGCCACTCATTCCCCCAATCACTCCTTCATCCCAACCGTTCTCCATATAGAAGCGATGCAAACAGCCTCCGAAGTCAGGCTTCTTGGTTTCAAAACCCAGCTCTGTCCCTTCTGAGCTGTTTGCCCCGGGTCAAGTCACTTAACCTCTCTGGGCCTCAGTTTCCTCATCTGGAAAATGGGATTGATTCTCATAGGTCCTCCTTCCATGTGTCTTTCTGGAATAGTCGAACCCAAGCATTTTCAGGCTGCAGAAGACAGCTGTGTTATGAACTCGAAGTGTCGTTACTTGTTATAACTAAAAATGTGTATGTGTATTAAGGTGAGCAGTGGGGGGAGTGTCCAACAAGGTTGAGAATCCTTGTGCCTTCTAGGACTCTGGGCCTTTGCATATGCTGTTCCCTCTCCCGGAACACCCTTCCCACTCCTTCCCAGTTGCTTCTGTTCTATCGTTCAGGTCTTGAGGCAGAGGCCCCCTGCCTGGGAAGCCCTCCCTGACCCTCCAGGCTGGGCAAGTGCCCCTCTGGACCCTCACAGCACCTGTGTGTCCCCCATCGGAGCCCGAGTCACTCTGCCACTGCTCACCACAGTTCATCCGCCCGCTAGACGGGGAGCCCGCTGCGGGCAGGCACCGGGTCTGTCTCGGTCACTGCTGTGTCCGGGGCACTCAGCACAGGCTGGAACATGTAAGTGGTCAGCGCACAGTCAGAGCGGTGGCCCACCCTGCAGAACGCAGGGATGCGGGGGTGAGCGCCCCATCGCCACCGGCTCGGTCCGCTTCCAGGCGTGTGGCTCCAGCAAGCCACGTCCTCTGTCCCGGCCTCAGTTTCTTCCTCTGGAAAACAGGAGGATGCACAGGAACCTGGCTTAGGAGGCGAGAGTTGGTGCAGGGAAGAGCACGACCGGGACCTGACATGCTGCGTGTGCTCAGGGGTCATGCGGGGTCCACCCTATCACCGAGGCCGGGCGCCCCCACTCAGAGCCTCAGTTTCCCCATTTGGCCACACTCTGCCTTAGACAGCACAGAGGGGGCACTGCCCGGATGGATGGGCAGGAGGACGGGCTGGCGCCTACCTAGAGCAGAGCCAAGATCTGACCGATGGGGCTGGCACAGGCTGGCCTCGCCAGGCTGGCGGTCCTTGGCAGCCCACGGCTCCCCTGGAGGCAGCTGGAGAAGGGCCTGGGCCCAGCTAGGATGAAGCTGAGGCCCCTTCTCAGAGGCAGCAGGCTCTGATTGGGGGCACGGAGCTCCATGCATACTTATTAAGCACCTACTGGATGCCAGACCAGGCTGCATGGTGCCTTTGCACATGCTGATCCAGCTGCTGGCATCACTTTCCCTTTTCATGGTGCTGATCTCTGCTCTTTCTGCTGTCAATCTAGAAGACGCCACCTCCAGGAATCCCCCCAGATTCTCTGGGTTGGGTCGGGCCCCTCCACTTGGAAATGCCTGAGTTTCTCCCATCACAGTTCTGATCACCCAGTATCATAGCTGGGCTGTGAGCGGGTGACTTAGTCAATCAACAAACACTGATGAGTGCGGAGAAGGTGTCAGGCACTGTGCTAAGCACTGTCCATTCTTAGGGAACTCTGTTAGCTGGCCACCCCTAACATCTGTTCTCGCCTTTTCCATAATAATAGAGCCCCTGGTTTTCAGTGGAACCACTCGCCACTCAGAATAAAGACTACATTTCCCAGCATCCTTTCAGGCAGGTGTGGCCACATGACTAAGTTCTGGCCAGTAGGATGTGAGCAGAAGTGGTGTGTGGGAATTCTGAGAAGCATCCTTAAAGAGACAGGACAAGCCCTTTCTCACCCCATCCTCCTCACATGTGTAAAAAAGAAGACCTATGAAAAAACACAAATATTCGCTTGTGAAGCCACCAAGACCAGACTGCCAGGTCCACACCCACCCCATCGTTGCCCAGACACTGTGTGCTCCCAAGCAAGTGACTTGGCCTCTCTGGGCCTTAGTTGCCTCATTTGTAAAATAGAGATGTGCAAGTGCAGCTAAGTGGGATTTTTCTCTGAGCTACTTAAGAGTCTCCAATGGTTTTACTCAGCACCTCAGAATAAAACCCAAATTCCTTACTAAGCTTGACAAGGCCCTGCAGGACCTGCCCCATCCCCTCCCTGCCCTCCCTCCTCCCTCTCTCCCCCTCGCCCCCTCTGCTTTAGCCACACGGGCTCCTTGCTGTTGCTCCAACACGCCAGGCCCAGTCCTGCCCCAGGGCCTTTGCACAGGCTGTTCCCTCTGCCTGGAACGCTCTTCCTGCATGCCCACCTCCTTCTCACCATTCCAGTCTCAGATCCAATGTTCCCTCCCTGACCTCTCTGATCATGCGTGCCACACGGCCACGTGACCGCCCCTCACTCATGGCCCCAAAGACCCCTTAATGTGGCCCAACCCTTCTGAAGCCGGGGGCACGCTGGGAGCTGACGAAGCACCTTATCTGCTTGCTATAAAATGAAACCACATTTGGTGTCTGAATCCAGCGACACATTCGCAGGAGATACGGGGGACCGAGGAACGTGATAGATGATACCACGGGGACACGTTCTGCCAAGCCCAGACCAGGGAGATCGCAGGGTGAATGACCCAGTTGCTCCGGCAAATCAATCACAAGGAAAAATGAAGAGAGAGAGACGGCGGGCAGAGCTCTCGCTTACAAGAGAGAGTCTAGACTTCACAGACGATCCTCGACTTTCTGTAGATCCGAATTGGAACCACCTAGAGAAATGACACATGGGGACGGGACCACTGGGTGGTTATTTGATGCTGTGACGGGGTCATTGTTATTTTGAGTGTGATGCTGGAGTTTGTGGGGTTTTAAGAGGTCTTATCTTAGGGCACGGGGAAATTCTCTGTGGGGCCGTCCTGGGCGCTGTGGGGGGTGGAGCAGCACCCCTGGCCCCCACCCACTCGATGCCAGGAGCACCCCCGTGTGACAGCCACAGATGTCCCCAGACATGGCCCAGTGTCCCCTGGGGGCAGACCCACCCCAGTTGAGAACTACTGCTTTAGAGACACAACCACCTGGAATTTGCATCAAAATACCAAGGTGGGGGTAAGTGGGAGGGGGAAGATACAGAAGGGGCCACACATGGATAACTGTTGAATCTGAGTGATGGGGACATGAGGGTGGGTGTCACTAATCTATCCTCTCTGCTCGGGTGTGTTGGAGATTTTCCACCATAAAAAGCTGGAAGGAGGGGGAAATTCAAATAAATCCCGGAGTTTAGTTCGTCGTCACGTGCCCACGTTGCTTTGGGCGTTGTGACGCCCAGGCTGCGCTCACGTAAGGCGAGACTGTCAGGGGAAGCGGTGAGGGGCCCCCACGTGCCGTGGGGACTCTCTGCAGGACGTTTGCAACTTTTCTGTGAATCTAAAATTACGCCAAAGTAAAAAGTTTATTTCCAAAAAAAATGTTTAAATGAAGATGAATCAGCATATCAAGGATGAGCGGCCCATGCGCCCAGGGCTGGAAAATCACCCCCCGGCTCCCCATCTCCTCACTCACCCACAGACACTGGGAGCCAGGCTCGGGGTCAGCCGGGATTGGCCGCCCACGGTGGCGCCCGGGGCCGGAGGCTGGTGCCCCCACGGCAGCCAGGGCGCAAATCCACTTTCAAATGGGCTTTATTCTCTCCAGAGTAGAGACACTCCTCCCTCCACCCTCCCTGCCCCGAGCTTCGCCAGCCAGGGGCCGCTGGCCTCAGGAGGGTCCCGGGGACACCACGGCCTCAGCCGCCCCCACAGACGTGGCACTGCAGCGGCTGTGTGGGCCAGCCCGGGCCAGCAGCTCCAGCCTGCGGGCGCGCAGCTGGGCCTGGATGGCCCAGATGGGGGGCCGGTGGCCGGGCAGCGAGGGGTCCTCGTCCCCGAAGCTCTCGACCGTGGAGTCGGAGCCGTCCTCCGTGCCGGCCACTGACTGCTTGCACACGGGGCAGGAGCGCCAGGCGCCCTGGGAGAACCAGAGGTCGATGCACTTGCAGTGGTAGGTGTGGGCACACGGCAGGATCTTGAGTCGGTCGCCCTCCTCGTACTCGTCCAGGCAGATGGCACACAGGTCGCTGTGCCGCGTGAAGGTGCGCACCTGGGCCTTCTGGCACGCCTGCGTCTGCGCCGTCTTGACCCTGGTCCACCGGGCCCAGAGCCACCGCCACAGGCGCCGCAGGACGAAGACGGTGGACATGAGCAGGGCCAGGGCGCGGCCCAGGACCCAGGAGATGGCCAGCACGGGGTGGCAGTCCAGCTCGGGGCACGGCGGGTAGTCGGGCAGCAGGAGGACGTGGGCCAGCTTGTCGCAGCGCAGGATGACCCGCAGGTCCTGCGAGGCGGCCTCGCCCACGAACACGGAGGGGATGGTGATCTGGCGCCGCAGGTCCTCGTAGACGTGCGCCATGCGCACCAGCTCGTCCGAGCGCACGTTGTGCACGATGGCCGCCTCGAAGCCGGCCTGCTGGGCGTGCAGGACCTTGAGGTCAAAGGTGCAATCGTAGCGGCGGATCAGCACGATGGCGCCCAGGGAGCCGTTGCCCAGCCGCGGGCCCTCGATGGGATAGCACGCGTTGGCTGGCTTGGCCTCCATCAGGTAGCCCCGGACGCCCTGGGGGGCCAGGGGCACCCCGAACAGGGCCGGCAAACCCGGGAAGTCCACCGTGCTCGCGTTCCCGTCCAGCACAGCCCGCACCACCGCCTGCGAGGGCACCAGCAGGGCCCACAGGATCAGGGCGGCCGTGACCGTCCCCGGGGCCCGCGCCAGCCGCACCCACCCCATGGCCACCCCCTCCCCCTCTCCCTCCTCCAGCCACTGCGTGGAGCTAGGTCCCACTGGGGACCACCGATGGGAGGCCTTCGGGCATCTCCAGGGCCTCCCCGGGGTCCCGTGGCTGGGATGGGAAGGGAAGTGAGCTCGGATAGGGGCGCAGAGGCTGTTAGGCAGGGCGGCTGGGCCCCGGGCGGCCCTAGGCGGAGGCTGGTCCCGGGGGCAGCGCGGCACTCATTGTGTCCGTGAAGGCCGGTCCCAGGAGGAGCTGCCTGACCCGGCGGCCGTGCTGGCAGATGATGCTGAGGCCGGGACCCCACAGTGTTCTAGATGCCTCCAGCCTCTGTGACATCGTCCACTTGCATGCTGCCCCCAGGAGCCCCCAGCTGCCTGGGCCTGTGGCCGAGACAGAATTCCAGGGTCTCTGACCTGGGGGCCCGGGCGGGCTTTGAAAAAGCTTCTCGAATGCTCAGAGCATTGCCGGCTCCTGGACCTCGTGAGGCTCAGGGGTGCCACACAGTGGGCTGGTGGCCCCCGCTGACAAGGATCCAGCACATTCATACTCTAGGGGCATCATCTTCCCGTGCCTCCCAGCCACCAAGGAAGATGCCAGTGTTGCCCCCTTTTGAGATTCCCAGAAGGACCCAGGCTTTTTCAGGGTACCCACTCCCCATGAGGTTCATTCCTATTACCCAAATTCCTCCCCTCCTCCCTCTCTCCCCCTCACTCCCTCTGCTCCAGCCACACGGGCTCCTCGCTGTTCCTCCCACACGCCAGCCCCAGTCCTGCCCCAGGGCCTTTTCACGGGCTGTTCCCTCTGCCTGGATGCCCTTTCTCCCTGTGGCTCTTTCTCACGACTCAGGCCTGGGTTCATACATCCTCAGAGTCTAGCTGGACTCCATTTGGGGGGATGGAGAAGTGCCCAGGTCAGAGCCGGGCTGGCAGGGGCGGGGGGGCCCCAAGTCCTCATCGCCTGGTAGCCTCCAGACCCGCACCAGATTTATTCTCTCACCTCAGAGCTTCCTCTCCACCTGAGTCTCCGACTGTCCCCTATTCCCCAGCCAGAGCCCTGGGCACCAGCCTCACATCCTCCCCAGCCCCCACCCCCCAAAACCTCCCACCCTGAGTTTTAGTCACCCGGCGAAGCAGCCTGATCAAGTCTCGATTCCTGGCTCTGCCATTGACACGCAGTATGACGTCAGGTAAATCACCTAACCTCTCTGGGCCCCGGCTTCCAGATCTGTAAAATGGGCATAGTGATGAGGAACCCGTCTTACAGGACTGGCAGTGGGAGAATTAAGTGAGATGATGCAGGACGAGTGCTCAGCGGAGGGTCTGACATCATCGTTCTCTCAGACCAGACCGGCCTCCAGTTTGCGCCCTTCCCAGTTCATTGCCACGTGGTGGTCGGGGGTTTTTCTAAAATCTCAATCCTCTGGGCTCTCCCATGGTTCCCATTGCCCTCCAGATAAAGTCCACACTCCTCTATGGGGCCGGCGAGCCCCCCATAGTCGACCCCTGCCCATCTTTAAAGCCTGAATGCTTTTCAGTGCTCCGAAGGCGTTGTGATTTCTTGCCCTCCGGAACTTTGCAAATGCTGTTCCCTCTGCTGGGAACAGAATTCTCTCTCCTTAACCCCACTTTGCCAGGATGACTGCTTATTCTTTAGGATTTCTCGGTTGGTCTAATACCTCCTAGAGCAGCCCTCAGCCAATGGCAGAGACGAGACACAGAGACACACAGGGACACATGTGACAACAGAGGCAGAGATTGGAGTGACGCGTCTATAAGCCAAGGGACAGACACCAAGGGTTGAGGCAACCCCAAAATCTAGGAAAGGGGCACAGAACAGATTCTCTCTCTGAGACCCTAGAAGGAACCAACCCTGCTGACACCTTGAATTGTGAGAAAATAAATCTGCTGTTTTAAGCCCCCTGATTTGTAGTACTTTCTTACCATGACACAGGAAACAAATACGCACTGGAATCCTTGTCCTGGGGTCCTTCTGTGGATGAGGCCGGACAAAGGCAAGGTGTCACCACACTGAGACTGCAGGATGAGTAAGGATGAAGTTGGCATAAAAGGGCAGAGAACAGCATGCTGGGAGTGTGAATGGCATGTACAAAGGTCCTGAGGTGAGCGAGAGAGAGAGAGTGTGTGTGTTGAATGGTTGGAAAGAGCAGGCCATTCAGAGCGGCTGGAAAGAGGGTCTTACCAAGGACGGAATAGAGTTGGGGGAAGGACGGGCAGGGCCAGACCTGAATCTTGAACGTGGATGGCCTTGGGGTTTACAGAAAACGACAGGGAGCCACAGAAAAGTTTACAGTAGAGGCAGGACACAGTCGAATTGTCTCCTGTTTTGCTCTGTACGTTCTACATGGCTTGGATCTTTTAGAATGGGCATGAATTCACTTATTACCTCTGAAATTAAAAGAGATCTGTGTTGCCGAAGGATCCGCTGGTTGCTGAGTGGAGGGTGGGTTGGAGAGGAAGAAAGAGGCTGGAAAGCCAATGAGGCAGCTGGAGAATCAGGGAAGGGACTGGGGAAGGGGACAGAGAGGAGGGGACGATAGCCCTGAATGAGTGAGTGGGTGTGAAGAAGAAGAGAGAGGGTGACACGGATGGAGCCAGCCACAGGTGCACAGTGACGTCCCCCCTTGCCATTCTCTCCTCCCGGGGGTGACTCCAAGAAAGTCTCGCTTGGTGCTACCATCTTGAACGCCATTCAGGCAATTGCTAATTTCCCTAAGAGACGGGTCCTCGGCCCCTTTGGATTTTAAAACATCATTTTGTTCTCTGTGTCTTTGATTTTTGGGGGCACCCATATCTTTGTGGCGAGAGATACGGGTTTTTTTACTTAGGACTCTCGCCAAGTTTTTTAAAGAAAGACAACAGGTGGGTTGATCTTTGGGGAATGTTGGTAACGAAAAGAAAAGGTGGATGACGAGAGGGGAAAAGATCGAGAAGAGTTCTCCAAGGAGGGACTGTTGATAAATTGGGTGTGTTAGCATCCTAGGGTGGCTGTAACCAAGTCCCGCAAACTGGGTGGCGGCAAACAAGGCGTTTATCATCTCACAGTTCTGGAGCCCAGAAGTCCAAGATGAAGGTGTCGGCAGGGTGCGCTCCCTCCGAAGGCTCTAGGGAAGGATCCTTCCTGCCTTCTCCAGCTTCAGGTGGTGGCCACCAATCTCTGGCATTTCTGAGCTCACAGTTGCGTCTGTCGCACACGGCCACCCTCTCCTTGTGTGTTTCTCTGTCTTCTCCTCTTATAAGGACACCGGTCATTTTGGAGTAGAGCCCACCCTAACAACCTCATCTTAACTTGATTCCATCTGCAAAGACCCTATTTTCAAAGAAGGTCCCATTCCCAAATACGTCCCTTTCTTAAACCTGCAGAAAGAACCCCAAATACGAGAGTCAAGAGTCCGGGTTCGAATCCCAGCTCTGCTCCTTATTTGCTGTGCAACAGTTGAGTATGCCACTGCCTTCTCTGTGCCTTGATTTGCTCCTCTGTAAAATGGGTATAATAATACCAGGCAGCTAGGGTGGACATCTATTTGGGGCCAGTGGCAATGTGTACCCATGGGATGACGTGTCCCCAACTCTGGGTATATGTGTCTATAAAGGATGGATGGAGGGAGAGACCTTCTTCCTGGGTCCAGGGTAGGCACGTGACCCAGGTCTGGCCAATGAGAGCACTGCATCCTCCAGGCCACAGGAATTGGTTCAGAGTGGGACATGAGATCCAGGCCTGGCCAATGAGAGCACTGCACCCTCCAGGCCACAGTGATTGGTTCAGAGTGGGACATGTGGTCCAGGCTGGGCCAATGAGAGCCAGCCCTCGGACTTTTGCAGGAACCAGGGGGAAGAAGGATTTTCCCGGGATGCTGACTGGGCTGGAAGGGAGGGATGCAAGTCTTGGGCTCCTGAAGTTTCTTTGCTGCTGGGAGGGAAGATCCTTACTGGCATGAGATGCTATTGGAGCTCCCCCTTTATAGCCACTCAACACTCACCATTTCTGTACCTGTTCACCTGGTCTCCAACATCCAGTACCTATGACTCTACCTGGGGGCTTCTTCTGGCTGCAGGAACCTGTCTGCTCATGTGCAGGGGAGTCTGGGTGTGCCAGAGAATTAACACCCCCGGGGAGCAGCCCAGAACAATGATTTATAGGAGTGAGTGGGCAAATATCCCATCCACCTCGCCCCTCCAATGAGACAACTCTGGGGTGCATGTCCCACACCATCACCTAGAATCCCCAGCAGATTAAGCTCCAGTTGCCCCAGTGATAACTAGCTTGACAATGCTTCCTTCATCAGTTGCCTTCTCTTTCCTGTCTCCCTTCCCCCACTCCCTCCTCAGTGTTTTCCGAGATCACTTCCAAAATAAATAACTTACATTCAAATTCTTGTCTCAGGGTCTGCTTTGGGGGGAACCCAAACCCAGATGCTCTCTGGGAACCCGAACCCAGAGAGCATCCCAAGATGCTCTCTGAGAACAAAAGAGTGCATAGGAAAGCAGAACAAAGAGCCTGAGAGAGACCTGAGTCCTAAAAACATCATTTGAGCACCTCAATCCAGCTGAGCCTGAAGGCCACACAACGCCTGTACCCTTGTTATAGAACTGATATATTCTTTTTTTTTGCCTAAGAGAGGGTATCCATTCCCATACAACTAACCTCACAGGGGAGTGGTGAGGCTTCCAGAATCTCATAGGAGGAGAGAGACTGGGCATAATTATGAGTTTTTCTTTTTTTGCTTCACTCCTATCTCCCTCTGCAAATGTTTCTAGCAGAGACCTCCTTCAGTGATGCCCAGATGGGATATTCCAAAGATGTGTGACTCTGCTGACTATTAGACATAAAACTTGTATCAGATGGGGTGATGGGATGTGTCTTATATTCGCTCTAATTTCCCAAGAAGTCAAGTCACATCTCCTCCCCTCCTCAGGTGCATCTCCTGCTGAATCGGATGCTAAACTTGCCCATACATGGGCGGGTATGCAATACACATGCACAGCTGACAGGCTTGGGATTCAGGGACCAGTGTGGCCCTGTGGGGCTGGGCTGGGAGGGGGATTTAGAGGTTTTCAAGGGGTCTGTGATAAATTCCCAGTGGATCACCCGCCTGCAGGCTGACCTGGGCCTCTCCATCTCCCTGTCCCTCTTCTCTATGTATCTGTCTGCCTGATCATTTCTATCTATGAACCTC